GAGGATGCTGGGAACTGAACCCAAGTCCTTTGGATGAGTATCCAGTGATCTTAACTACTGACCTATCTCTAGTTCCCCAAATGTATTTATCAGGGACTCACAAACAGAAGTGCACCTTGGTTAGTCAGTGAGGCAGGGGGATTCCCACTTTCTAGGCAGGAGAAAAGGAGTCATATGCTGAGCTAGCAAAGGTGGCCCACAGCCTATTGGAATGTACCCAGACTTTTTCAAAAACACCTAACATGTTGCGTTAGTTACTTATTTCTATAACCAGACCTTAAGAGGGCAAGGGCTGATTTGAATTGCAGTTTGAGGGCATGCAGCCTGTCATGGAGGGTAAGGTATGTCAGCAGGCAACTTAGATGGTGGCAGCAGCATGCAGCTGGGTCTCTCATCTCCTCATATTTTTGCTAAACAGGAAACAGAGACCCACCTCCTCTGGCCAGGCTCTACCTCCTAAACATCCCACAATCTCCCCAAAACAGTGTCACCAGCTAGGGACCATGGGTTCAAACATGTGAGCCTGTGAGGGACGTTCACATTAAACCATAAGACATGCCAAGCGTCAGTTAAGAGATGGTTCTTGCAGTCAGTGGCCGACTGAAATGATGGCTAGTTTTAATTGTCCACCTGACACAGTCTAGAGCTGCCTGGGAAGGGAGTCTCTGTGAGAAGACTGACTGGACCAGATAGGCCCTGTGGGCATGTCTTTGGGAGAGCGTCTTGATTACCTTAATTGATGTGGGAAGACCCAGGCTGAAAGTGGGCAGCCCCAAGTTGGTAGGTGGTGGCGCACACATTTAATCCCAGCACTCCGGAGGCAGAGCCAGGTCTACAGAGCAAAATCTAGGACAGGCACCAAAAGAACATGGAGAAACTCTGTCTCCAACCCCCATCCCCTGCAAAAAAAAGGAAGTGGGCAGCCCCATTCTGTGGTTCTGGGCCCTGGATTGTGCGACAATAGAGAAAGCTAGCTAAGTATAGGCATGCGTGCATTCATTTCTCTCTGCTCGATTGTGGATGTGATGTGACCGACTGTTTAAAGTTCATGTCACCTCGACTCCCCTGCTGTGATGGACTGAAACCTGGAATTGTGACCTAAAATAAACCCTTTCTCCCCTAACTTGCTTTTTGTTTGGGTTGGTTATCTCAGCAACAGAGGTGAAATCAATAATACGGACAGCCAAGACGGCTGCCGTCATCCGCCTTACCCCGGCAGCGTGCTCCCAGCTCCGCCAGGCCACTCCCCCTCTGTATTACACTGCAGTTAAGGCTGACAGTTTTGTTTCCATTGGGAGCTCATGATGAGATTATAGAAGGCAAGAGTGGGGGAATCTTTGAGATGAACAGTGGAGGGAAAAGACGTCTCCTATAGGCTGTCCTGCCAGATTCGTGAGTTCAGTTGTGTGGCCTGGTGACTGTCCTGCCAGATTCGTGAGTTCAGTTGTGTGACCTGGTGAGGGGGCGAGAGCTGCCGAGTTCTAATGCAACCTCTTCCAAAGCCACACGGAGTTGTTGGCCAAGGAGTTGGCAACTGATCCACACAGGGCCAGTGAGTTTCTGCCCTGGGTATTCAGGACTTGGGAAGTCAGAGAAGCCAGTCATCCTCCCTCTGCTCCCCTTGGGTCTAAGTCTGAACTGTAAATGGGAAGCATTGGATGACCATTCTAACTATGGAGGAAGTCAGTTTGATGAGTGGGGGTACCTCAGGGATCACGTGCAACGAGGAGGGAGGGAGGGAGGAGGAGGGAGGGAGGGAGGAGGAGGGAGGGAGGAGGGAGGGAGAACAGAGCTCAGCTGCTCTAGCTGGATCCACAGATGTGATGGGTCATCTTGGTTGTCAACTTGGTGCCCCTGGGAAGACGGAACCTCAACTGAAGAATTGCCTCCATTGGCTGGACACGGTAATGTACAACTTTAATCCCAGCACTAGAGAGGTCGAGGCAGATGTCTATCTGTGAGTTTGAGGCCAGCCTGGTCTCCATAGTGAACTTCAGGCCAGCCGAGGCTACATAGTAAGATCCCATCTTTAAAAAAAAATGCCTCGGCCGGGCGGTGGTGGCGCACGCCTTTAATCCCAGCACTCGGGAGGCAGAGCCAGGCGGATCTCTGTGAGTTCGAGGCCAGCCTGGGCTACCAAGTGAGTCCCAGGAAAGGCGCAAAGCTACACAGAGAAACCCTGTCTCGAAAAACCAAAAAAAAAAAAAAAAAAAAAAAAAAAATGCCTCCTTCAGACATGTCTGTGGGGCTTTTTTTTTTTTTTTTAACGGTTAATTGATATAGGAGTTACCAGCCCACTGTGGGTAGTACTGTCCCTAGGCAGATGGACCTGGACTGTATAAGAAAACCAGCTGAATGTGAGCCTGGCAGCAAGCCAATAAGCGTGTTCTGTAGTTTCTGATTTAAACTTCTGCCTTGGTTTCCCTTGATTACGTACTCTAACCTGTAAAAACAAATATCTTCTCCCCCTGCCAAGTTGCTTTTTCCTGGTGTTTGTCGCAGTGATGGAACCCTAACTGGAACACCAGGGTTTGTCTGTACAAGCCTGGGTTTGGATTCTCAGAGTCAGCTGTTTCTCTTGGGAGAGGTTCCCTTGGGACGTGTTTCTGCAGTCCACTGCTAAGTGTCTGCTAGACTAGGCTATCAAATTCTTAGTAACCCAAAGAAGGGGGCTGGGAGAGCCCCTCCAAGTCCCTCCCCTCAGTTGAAAAGTCCAGGATCATCTTGCTTCAGATGTCCAAGCAAGTGAGTGGCAAAACCAACTCAAGAGTTCAGGTTTCTTCACCCCCATTTCAAGGCCCTTTCTCGTCTTCCTCTTCTATACCGTAAGTAGCGTACAATAATAAAACCACATTGAAAACCAGCAATATTTACTGCTTATTAAGCATGTGCTTAGTTCTCCTGTACAAGACAGTTGCTATTACTTTATGTACTTAATAGAAAAGTGTTTAAAAATGAGCGTGCATGCCAGCAGAGATGAATACCACGGCACCTGTGTGGAGGTTGAAGGACATCTCTCCTACTCTGTGGTAGGGATGGAACTCAGGCCATCGGGCTGGCAGCATATGCCTTTACCCACTGAGCCTTCTCACCAGCCCTGCTGCTTCACATCAACAGGTTCTCACACTCCTGCACAGTGGGAGACTGCAGTTCAGCCAGTTTGAAGCAGCTTACTGAAAACAACAACAACAACAACAAAAACCACAGTTAATAAGTCATTGCCAGGGGTCAAATTCAAGGTATATGGCCCGTGACTGCTCACACTTGATCAGGCGACTCCACCCCAGCTTTTGTATCCTGTTCTACCTAGAGTCATAGTGCCCACACAGGCCTGGGACAGTGCCTGGCTGAGTAGTCCCAGGAGACCTGTCATTTTCTGTATCGCGGCTACTGGCCTGGGTATGTTGTTCTTGGACTTGCGTTATTTACCTAAGAATTTGCAAGGCTGCTTCTTGCTTAGGTAGCAAATAACCTCTGCAAATATGGACAGGAAATTGGATTTGCTTACCCCAAACTGGGGAGAGCCTCGGACATTCTGGAAAAGGCACTGATGAGATCATATGAGGTCACCAAACATACTCTGAGTTTTCACTGTGTGCGGTGTGTGTGTGAACGTTAGTGCACATGCATTTGGAGGTCATAGGCAACCTTAGGTGTTGTTCCTCGGACACTGCTTACTTTTCTTTGTTTACAGATAGTCTCTCATTGGCCTGAATCTAAGTTGGCTAGGCTGGCTGGCTGGCCGGTGAGCCCTGGGTTGCTCCTGTCTTCACCTCCCCAGCACTGGGATTAGAAACACAAGCCACCGTACTTGGCCTTTTTACGTAGGTTCTGGGGATTGAATTCAGGTCCCCGTGATCTCCAGGCAAGCCCTTTAATGACTGAGCAGTCTTCTCAGCCCCGAGTTTCACTTATTAACCTAAAGAGACAGAACGATCATCATCTTCTTTCCTTCTTCCTCTTCCTCCTCTCCTTCCTCCTCTTCTTCTGTTTGGCTTTTCAATACAAGGTTTCTCTGTGTAGCTCTGGCTGTCCTGGAACTCCCTGTAGACCACACTGGCCTCGAACTCACAGAGATCTGCCTGCCTCTGCCTCCTAAGTGCTGGGATTAATGTGTGCACCCCCACACCCAATTCAAAAGATATTCTTTAAAATTGGCTTTACTGAAATATAATTGTACACAAAATAACCATGCATGTTTAATGTACATAATGTGATCATTTTGGATGTATGCACACATCCTCAATATTATCAGCACAATAAAAAATAATCCTCATCTGTGGAAAGAATTTTTACTTTTGATTATGCACAGGGTCTTGTGACAGGTGAGTGCTCTAGTATTGAGCTGTGTCCATCCTGGTCCCAGAGGTTTTCAAGGTCTTTCCACTATTATGGCTGAACAGAGCCTCCGATGTGGTGGACAGGGATAGTCAACTAATCTAAGGACAGCCAGTTCCAAAGTTCCCACTGTGACCACCTGTGGTGGCACTGCCTGGGGAAGCTTCTTAAAATACAGTGCACATATTATCTCCCCACCTATGACACAGTCTCTGTGGTATAAAACAGCAAATTCTTTCTTTCTTTCTTTCTTTCTTTCTTTCTTTCTTTCTTTCTTTCTTTCTTTCTTTCTTTCTTCCTTCCTTCCTTCCTTCCTTCCTTCCTTCCTCCCTCCCTCCCTCCCTCCCTCCCTCCCTCCCTCCCTCCCCCTCCTCTCTCTCTCTCTCTCTCTTCTTTCTTTTTTTTTTCCGAGACAGGGTTTCTCTGTGTAGTTTTGGTGCCTGTTCTGGATCTCATCTGTAGACCAGGCTGACCTTGAACTCACAGAGATCCGCAAGGCTCTGCCTCCCGAGTGCTGGGATTAAAGGTGTGCGCTACCACTGCCCAGTGCAAATACTTTCTTATGAAATCCTTAAATTTTAAATAAAATATTTTACTTTATTTTTACATTCTGTGTATATATGTGTGTCTGTATATAGGTACCCATGAGTGTGAGTGCCCTTGGAGGTCAGAAGAGGATGTCTGATCCCCTGGAGCTGGAGTTACAGGATGTTGTGAGTTGCCCAGCATGGGTGCTGTAACCAATACAGAGGGCTCATCTGTTGAGGATTCTGTCAGAGTTCTGTTCTGTAAAAACTCCTCGGGGTTGCTTGACCATCCTTACAGCATGGTGACTGGGATCCACGAGTGTCCTGTGATGGCAAGGCACAATCATGCTGCATTTTTCTCAGCTGCTAGACTGCATTACATTGGTTGCAAGAGCGAGCATAAAAGAGCCTACACAGTCTGGTCTTGAACTTGCTAGGTAGCCAAGGATGATCTTGAACTCTTGATCCCCCTGTTTCCACTTCCTACTGCCGGTGTTACAGGTGTGTACCATCGTGTCTGGTGTTAGGCCCACCCATTTTTTTTTTTTTTTTTTTGGTTTTTCGAGACAGGGTTTCTCTGTGTAGCTTTGCGCCTTTCCTGGAACTCACTTGGTAGTCCAGGCTGGCCTCGAACTCACAGAGATCCGCCTGGCTCTGCCTCCCGAGTGCTGGGATTAAAGGCCCACCCATTTTTAAGAGCTTATGATCTCAAGCTCTTGTGTGTGTGGTATATATGCATATATGTATGTGCCCACTCTTGCACTCACAGAACCCAGAGACAATGTTGGGTGCCCTGCTCTGTCGCTCTCCACTTTATTCCCTTGAGACGGCCTTTCTCACTGAGTCTGCCCCAGCCCAGTGACTCTGAGATGGCAGGCACATGTATGGCCATGCCTGCCTTATTGCATGAGCACTGGGTTTGAACTCAGGCCCTCTCGCTTGCCTAGCAATCTCTCGGATTCACAGACTATACGTGTAGTATCTTGATGGGACAAGTGACAAGTTCTAGAAAATGAGTCGGGGGAGGGACAGCACTGAGTCCAGCCAGGAAGGTGCATCCGGTTAAATACAAATCCCCTAGAGGAGGGAACGGGGATGGGCTGGGGGAGGGGAGGCTGGTGGGGCGGAGCGTCCAGCCAGAAAGGTGCATTCCGTTAAATACAAATCCCATCACCTACTGCCGAAGCAGAGTCTGTGGAGATTGAGTCCAAATTTGCATTTTAATGCCTTCCCACTGTAGAGCCTCTTTGGTGTCTGAATTTTGAGTTGCAGTTTTATACCATCTATAAAACACCGGAACAGAGCAGGTCGGGGGAGCTGGCCAGCAGCTGGAAGACAGGCTTTTGTGCTGGCTATGCAGCTGGTTTCTTGGGTGACTTTGGCAAGTGGTTTACTATTTCTGGGTTCATTCTTAGTGGTGATAACGGTACAGGACTCAGAGGACTACTCTGAGGTCTGTGTGGCAGAAGGCAGATGACATGCGTACCTGGGTACCTGGTGCAGTCGGCATTCAAATGGCCTCGTCATGACTGCCGAGGTCTCTGGAAAGATGCCCCTCGATTTGCTTGCAGAGGTCAGAGTGACAGTTACGGTCCTCTGAACCAGGCCCGCCATTCTTTGGAATTTTTGAGTATTAACAACCCCATTTCACAGAGGAGGAAAGCGAGGCTCAAAGCTTGACTGTCTTGTCCAAGGAGAGAAGAGGACCTGAGTTCATAGTGACTTGCATGTGAAGCCTCTGCCTCCCACATCATACTGTTCCAAGATACAGGAAATTCAGGTTGTCTTGTTTGCTTACTCGAATCTTCTCTCATTTCACCTTCAAAACCGGGTGTATAGTATCTCAGTTGCTTGAAGCCTGGTGTGTGGGTCTACTATTTCTAAGTGTTTGGGTCTTGGCTGTTGCCCTCTATGGGTCATGGTAAGAATTGCATGCAGTACCAGGAGCTGCGCTAGGAGCTGGGCTAGGGCTTCTAGCAAACCTCTTCCTATTCAATAGGATCAGGCCCAGTTGCCAAAAATCAGCACTACCATCTCCCTCCGTCTCCCTCTACCGTCTCCCTCTACCGTCTCACATCTCTGAGGCTCATTGGCCTGGACGCCAGAAGCTCAGCCCCAAGTCCCAGCTCTATCAGCACAGTGGACCTTGGGTAATTAATTAGCTGGGAGATGCCTCCACCTCTTAGAGCTTCCATGTTCACAAACACAACATAGTTCCAACCTGTGGGTTTGCTCTGGGCTTTCAGTGAACTCAGGCAATGCAGGTGTTGAGAAAAGGGTCTGTGCACAGAGAACTGGGGTGTTGCCATCACCCAGGGCCTTGGCCCTGTCAGACGGCTTGACTTTTTCCATCTGAAGAGATGGAACAAGTGAGGGACTCAGAGGTATGGATGATTACAACCCAAGACCTTGCCTGGCCCTGGAAGCCAAGAGATTTATTTATTTAGATAGGTAGCCCAGACTGGCCTTGAACTCACTATGTAGCTGAGAATATTGAAATTCTGATTCTCCTGCCTTCACCACCTAAGTGCTGGGATTTACAGCTGTGTGCCACCACATCCCTTTTATTCAGTCTGGAGATTGAACCTGAGGCTATGTGTACTATAGGCACTCTAGCAACCGAGCTGCGTGCCTAGCCCCTCTCTGCTTCTTGATGAACTTATTTAAATTGTGTTGTCCAAAATACTGGACCATCTAGCCAACACCTATGAACATCCCCCCCCTTCTCCCTCCCTGCCTTTGTTTACTCCTTAAGCAAGCCATTGCAATCATGTCAAATCCAAATTAAGCGCCGCAGGGAGACAGGGTCCTCCCTTTCCTCCATGTCTTTCTGATGCCCTCACTCCCTCTTCCACAGCTCAGGCACCTATTGTCCCTCTTTCCATACAGCCACTGCTACCAGCTCCTTTGGAGGTTTCTAGAAATATTCAGTATATATATAAGCACACTCGGTTTTCTTAAACAAATAAATATGATCTTCTAAAATCATTTGCATTTATTTTTGCTTTCTGTTGTTTATTTAAATTGGTATTTATTAGTGTGTGGGGGTGAGAGAGAGGGAAGGGAGAGCACAGAGCACATGTGGAAGTCAGAGGACAACTTTGGGAAATCAGTTTTCTTTTCCACTGTGTGTTCTGGGGAGTGAACTCAGGCCGCAGGCTTGCATAGCAAGAACCTTTTCTCACAAAGCCATCTCTCTGGCCCTTGTTCTTTTTTTTTTTTTTTTAAATAATTTCTTAATTTAAGAGTAATTTTAGATTTATAGAAATACTGAACAGTGGGCACAAAGAGTTCCTATAGATACCTCACCCTGTCTCCCCTAACACAGCAACTTACGTGACTCTGGGGCTATGGTCAAAACTGAGAAATGAACAACAACACATTACTTGCTAACCAAACTCCAGGCTTGGAGCCTAGGGATGTAGCTTAGTAGGTAGAATGTTCATCTAGTATTCACAAGGGCCTGGGTTCAACCCCCAGGACAGTATAAATAGGTGAGAGGGCTTGCACCTATAATCCCAGCACTTCGGAACAGAGGCAGGGGGACCAGAAGTTCAAAGCCACCCTTGGCTACATAACCAGTTCAAGTTCAACTTGGGCTATAGACCCTGTCTTAAAACAAAGCAAAACAAACAAAAAACCTTCTAGCTTTGTTCTGGTGTATAGGATTTCCCACCAATACGCTGCTGGAGGATTCAGCTCCCAGTTCCACGTCTGGGCTGTATTGAGACTGAATCTTGAAAATCGGATGGGAAGGGAGGGAGTCTCAATACAGCTCAGACTTGTACTCATGACCCTCCTGTCACCACCTCCCGAGGGTTGCAATTTGAGGCATGCATCACCATGCCTAGCAGCAGATATGGTTTTTCATAGATGAAGATGATACCCAAAGAAAATCCTTCATCCCTTTTCAAAGACTAAACCAAAATGCCCGAACCGAACAACCATGGCAGCTAGCCCACAAGAACCTCAGGCAACAAAGGAAGTCATGAAGTCAAAGATTACTTGTTATTTGTTGAACTACTTACAAAAACCTAGTCGATATATGCCGCACACGTCGATGAATTCCATTTGCATAACAGACTTGTTGCAGATGGGGAAACCAAGGCTTGGGAAGGCTGGTGACTCACCCACCCTTGCTCAGCTGGAGAGGAGGTGTGCAACTGTAGACCCAGCCTACAGGTCCCAGCAAGTTGTTAAGCCTGCACGTCGCTTTCTTTCTCTGTAGCAGCCAAACCCTTGAGCAGCTTTGTCTAATGGAGAGAAACATTCTTTATGTGATTTGGATTTGACCACTGGACTTCATGACAATTTATTTTCTGACTTCCTGGTATAATGGAGTTCTTTTTATAGGAACTGGGACTCTCCGAGTGCAGATCCAGGAATTTTAATTGGGTGAGAGGAAGCATCGCGTAGCAGAGTGAGCACTGAATAGAGTCAGTAAGCACCTGCTTCAATCCTGGTTGGCTTTGGCAACAACCCCAGTCTCATTAACAACAGCAATCGCCTCCATTTAGTGACCTCTCATCCTGTGTCAGGTGCTGCCTAACCTAAGGTAATCTTTTTAGCAATATTATGCTAACTCACAAATAATGTGCCCGTTTTACATCCGAGAAGACAAAGTCTCTATACACCAAGCAATTTGCTCAAGACCATTCAGGTAGGTAGAAAAAGTTAATCTTGAACTTGTGTGTGTGTGCATGTGTGCATGTGTGCATGTGTGTGTGCGTGTGCGTGCATGCGTGCGTGTGTGTGTGTGTGTGTGTGTGTGTGTGTGTGTGTGTGTGTGTGTGTGTATGGTGCTGGGAATTTAACCCAGCTAGGCAAGTGCTCTACCACTGACCTATCACCCTGACCCACACATTCCAAATTTGAACTTGGATGGAAAATTCCAAAAACCTGTATTGTTCACACTATTTTATTCCATTTGCAAATACAAATATAACAGTAACACAGAAAGTGGCTAATATTCATTTTTCTATGTGGCATGCACTATTCCAATTTCTGTGTGCAATTATCATCAAATCTCACTATGATTCTGTGAAGTCAATATAGTCATCCCTTGTTATCTATGGTGGGAGGGGTGTTAGATCCAGGATACCTGTAGTACCAAACTCCTAGGACACTGTAGTCCCTTGGTATCTATGAGGGCAGATCCAGGAGGCCCATGATTCCGAATTCTAAGGATACTCTTGTCCTCATGCAAAATGGTGTGGCATTTGCATATCACTGCACAGCCCTCCCTGTGCTTTGAGTCATCTGTGGATGACTTTCAGTGCTGAAGGCAATGTAGGTGCTAGGTAACTGTTGTACAGTATTGCTGAGGGGACACTGGCAATGGGGACAGTCCGCACCTGCGTAGTTTACCCAGGGTTTTCCCCCTCCCATAGTCTCTCTTTGCCAAGAGTTCAGTCTGCAGATGCGGATCTGGTGGGTCCAGAGTGCTGACTATTAGCAACACCTCCACGTTCAGATGGGTAAACTGACTAGGAAAGGGTCATTTCCTTTTGGTTCCCTGCTGTGTTCTGAGAACACTCACTTTTAGAGGAAGGGCTATGACAGGCACATGTAACTCTCGGCTTTGGCATCTCTTTCCTCTCCGAGAGGCTGCAGGAGCAGCAAGAGCTTGGGAAGGTGGCTGGACAAGTGCCTCCGCTGGGCATCCTCTGGAGGCTGGAGGCATAGGGTAAGTTCCTGGGATCAGTCAAGCCTGTCTTCCACAGGTCCTGGCAGGGCAGTCTGCCTCCTTGGCAGAACAGGCTGCAGCCTCAGGCTTCTGGGCACTGTGTGGCTCTGTAAACTGAGCAAGGAAAGGAGGCTTGCCAACATGTCACAGGCCAGCACCCCCATGGACACCATCTGGGACCCACTGAACTGAAGAGCCAGCATCAACCAATGGCTGCCTCCTCCACCCACGGTCACACCTTCCTGAACATACACCAGAGCGCTTGGCCTAGCAAAGCTGTCAGGGCCCTGGGGGACAGAAATGCCTCCATGGAACCTCTTCAAGCTCCAAAGCCTATAGGCAAGCACAACCACTCTAACAACTGACACACACTACATGTCGACTAGGCTTGGGCCTTCTGAACTATCTCGCTCGATTAGTTCCACCTGGGCATAGGAAGTGCTGCTAATATTATTGGATGTTAAGTACATTATTGTCTCTATTTTGTGGATGAGAAAACTGAGGTACAGGAAGGCTTACCTGGGGTCATGAGGTCAGGACATTTCAGAGCCAAGATTCAGAGTCTGTTTTTACATCTAGTGAGTGATCTTTCCCGGGGTTCTAATCTCTGTCCATTCTTCTGGTGATGGGCAATTCTGTTCAGTCACTTGCTCTTTCTGGTACCCAGTGTTAGGACTGGTCCATATGTTCCAAAGTTGCCCAGCAGACTTCCAGGGTCACACCATAAGCTGTGGTGCAGGAAGAATGGGTGTGAAGGAAAGATGAGGAAGAAGGTAGGAATACCCTGCCGTCTTAACCTCTAACCTGAGTTCCAGCCTCCGAGGTTAGCGGCTTCCTGTGTTAGGTTCAATGGATGACAGACGGCTTGCAAAAAAGGCCCTGCTGCTTGAGACAAGGGTGAACTCTAGGAGTTACATTTACCATTCTGTGATTCACAGGGAAGGAAAATGAACCTCAGAGAGATTACCTTCTAAAGAGGCGAAGGAATGACCAACACAAGTCAGATAATGCACTCTTTCAGCGGGCAGACATCCATGGATTCAGATCCCACCTCTGGGCTTCAGAGCTCAGCTGGGAGAGCTCTTGCCTCGCGTGCACAAAGCCCTGGCTTTGTTCTCTAGCACTGTACAAACTGGGTATGGTGGGGGATGCCTATGATTTAAGCACTCAGGAAGTAGATGTAGGAGGAAGCTAGCCTAGGCTACCTGAGATTACACCTCAAAAACCAACAAGTGAGCAAGCAAACCAACCAACCAATCCTCCCTGACTCAAACCTACATCTCAGCTATGCCCATTGTGACTGGAGTCCTTAGGATGGGGTCAGATCGACTAACAACAGGTCCGTTTGCTACCATACAGTTCTGATGCGGGTAGTCGATGTCCTCAGTTACTTCTTTGATGGAAAGACTCAGTAACTGTCATCTATCCTGACTCTCTTTACTTCTAACACCAAGTCCCAAGCAAGGGGCACAAGGCATGTGGATATTGGGTTATTTGCCCATTTACGGCACATATATCAGGCTTGACTATTGAATGTCCTCTAACAGGCTCATTTGTTTAAGGCTTGGTCCTACCCTGCAGTATGAGTGGGAGGTGGTGGAATGGAGTGAAAAGAAATTAGGTTGTTATGGGTGTAACCCTGATAGGGTTCTGGGACCTAGACCCTTCTTTCTTATTTATTTATTTATGTTTGCTTATTTATATATTTATTTATCTATTTATTTATTTGTAATGTTATGGGTGTAACCCTAGGGGGTTCTGGGACCTAGACCCTTCTTTCTTATTTATCTATCTATCTATTTATTTATTTATAATGTTATGGGTGTAATCCTGAGAGGGTTCTGGGACCTAGACCCTTCTTATCTATCTATCTATCTATCTATCTATCTATCTATCTATCTATCTATCTATCTATCTATCTATTTTTTTGTAATGCTTTGTTGGTGGCCAAGAGCAAGCAGTTTCCTCCATTTTATCCCACTGTGATGTTGCTTCCTCATCACAGGCCCCCAGAGCAGCAGAGCTGACTGACTATGGGCTGTAGCCTCTGAAACTGACCATAAGGGAAACCTTTCTTCCTTTTTGTGCATGTGTACATGTGTGCATGAGTGTGTGTGTGTGTGTGTGTGTGTGTGTGTGTGTGTGTGTGTGCATGCAGGTGCACATGTGCCTGTATATGTACATGTGGAGATCAGGTTTGATTTTGATGCTGGATTTGCTACTTAAACATTCTCCACCTTATTTTTGGGGTTCAGGCTGACCCTGTAGCCCGCTGGTTGAGCCAGGCTGGTTGGCCAGTTGCAGGAATCTGCGTGTTTCTGCCTCCCACCATGCTGGGATTACCCTCCTTTGCCACTTTGCCTGCCTTTTTTAATGTGTGTGCTGAGCATTGAACTCAAGTCCTCCTGCCTTCAAAGCAAGCTTTTTATCTACTGAGTCATTTCCCAGCCTCTTCTTTTTAAGTTGTTTTATCTCAAATATTTGTTACAGTGACCAGAAATTGATTAACACAGGACTACCCTCCCTCAAGGAATAATTTTTAGTGGCTTTCTATTTGGCAACCTCTTCTGGAATTCAAGTCCCAGGGAGTGTCCTGTACTCCTGGGAGCAGGGGAGGCGTCTGACAGAAGACATGAACAGAAGGCTGCATTACTCTTAGTGGCTGGGTGACCTCATTTCACGGCTCCTGACTCCAGTGTCCTCACCTTCAGAGAGTGGCCTTAGGGTTTTGATGACCCCAAGGGCCCCTGCAGCTCCAAGGTGGCATGCTTTGACAACTCTGGACATCAGAAAATAAGATTATGTCCTTGGCCTCTAGACATTTCCCCAGAAAGCCCTCTCCCTTTGCACGGACCACAAATCAGAAGACAGTCTTCATGCTGCCTCTGCTAGTGACTGATGAGGCGCCAGAGCCCTCCTGGCCGTGGGAGACTGGCTTGCTAAGATCTGACACTAAAGCTCTTCCCGAACCGTCCTGACTCAGCCACAGCAGAGCCGGAGGGCCTTGGGCAGGGGCAGTGTCTGTACAGCGAAGGCTGAACCCTGCCGGAGGACGACTCCCAGAGGAGAGGATGCACTGCAGCAGGAGTAACTGTGAGCCAAGCTCCCAAGGCTCGCCGGGGACAGCAGCATAGCTGGAGTGGGCTCGGAAGTGACCCCTCTGCGTGCTTTGCACCAGAGGAGCAGCTGCTAATTTGGTAGGTCAGACTGCAGGATGCTGACAGTTACATTTTAAAAGTTAATTTTATTTATTTTTAAATTTTATTTACTTGTGGATGGAATAAATTCCACTGTGCTGGGGTTATAGTACTTTGTCATCATGCCTGGCTTTTTAAGTGTGTGCGCTGAGCATTGAACTCAAGTCCTCCTGCTTTCAAAGCAAACTTTTTATCCATTGAGCCATTTCCCAGCCTCTTCTTTTTAAGTTGTTTTATCTCAAGCATTTGTTACAGCGATGGGAAACTGATTGACACAGCATTCAAGGACTAGCCTCCCTCAAGTAAGGAGGGTATTCCTTGAGGGAGGGTAAATAAATGTAAATATAAATATTCTTTATTTCTTCCACCAAGTGGATGCTAGGGATGGAACTTAGGTCCTCAGGCTTGGTGACAAGTGTTTTTTATCCACAGAGCTATCTTGTGGCCCAATTTAAAATTTTGTCTCTGTGTATACAGGTGAACCTGCGTGTGTGTGTGTGTGTGTGTGTGTGTGTGTGTGTGTGTGTGTGCGTGTGTGTAAGGAATGGTTCAATATTGGGCTGTTCCTCAGTACCGCCTACCTAAGACAGACTTCTTTGACAGAGTCTCTCGCTGGCTTGGTTAAACTACCTGACTACCCAGAGAGTCCTGCAGATCTGCATGTCTCCACCTCGCCAGTGCTGGGACCACACCACAAGCGTCACCTCACCTTGCCTTAAAAATGTAGGTTCCAGGAGCTGAACTCAGAAACTCATATTTGCAAGCGTTTTCCTGCCTGAACCACCACCCCAGCCCCAGGTCCCGCTTTGCAGTGGCAAGTGACCGGCTCACGTGCCTGACACAGAAGCCTGGAGTGGGAGACCAGGTCCCTTCACAGAGGTCACTTATCTCCTTGGTCTCTTATTGGCCTATGCACTTCTTGTGTGTTAGAAGGTGTGGTCGGAGCCCAACACCATCTCCTTGGCCATTTGGAGGCTTCTTATAGAAGCAAGGCTTCCTGTCCCTCTGAGCATAGATAGCATCATCTGGAGCATAAGCATAAATGGTCCTGGATGACCCCTGCCAGTGAAGGGATAGAGTGGAGAAACTGAATCCTGAAAAAACACTAACTCTTTCTAAAGCAATGAAATGCTGGACCACCGCCTCTCACGTCTTTCCTCTACAGGGTGTCAAGGTGTCCCCTAGGCTGCCATCTGAACCAGAGAGGACACCAGGTTGCATCACATAAAGACCGAATAAAGAAAGAAATCTACCTCTATGTTCATCCCAAGATAGGCAGTGCAAAAAAAAAAAAAAAAAAGATAGGCAGTGCAAGGGTATAAAGAGCCTTGGCCTTTCAAGACATGCTAGAATGGGCTATGAGGCCTTTGGATAAAATAATATGGAATGAGAAATCTGAACCTTGGTTGAGCCCAGAGTCTAGCTCTCCAAGAAGAGCCACAGAACTCTGAAGAAAAAGGTAACTTGGAGCTTCTTTTGACCAGCCTAACCTTTCTCTTACAAGTGGGGAAACCGAGATCTTGGGAGAGAGCCAGGCTGATGGCACATAGGTCAGGGTGTAACAGAATGGAAAGGAAACAGAGCTGTGAGAGTCAGGATGTGCTAGAACCAGGAACCCGTGAGAGCTGGAAAAGGTCCAGAGCCACAGACTGAAGCTGATTCTGTTCCTCTGATGGGAACACATAGAACATAGGCCTGAGCATGTTTGTAAGGTCCTGCATGAATTTTGAGGCAAACAGTTAATCAATCAGTGATGTCTACTTTGGTACAAGCTGGAGACCTTTTTTTTTTTTTTTTTTTTTTTTTTTTTTTTTTTTTTTTGTGCGGGGACTTGAACCTATGGCCTTACATGTGCTAGACAAGCAGTCTACCAATCAGCCTTATTCCTAGCCCCAGCACATATAGGTCATCTGCCCCCAAGGTAAAGAAATCTATCAGAAGGCCAGGGCTGGGGCTAAGGCAGTGTAGGAAACCCTGGGAGTTGGAACCTGCAGGCTAGAACTCGGAGGGATGGTGAAGGTGGGCCATCAGGGACACGTGTCATGGACAAGGGTCATGACTAGTCTGCTACCTGGGCTACTCAGCTCCCTGACCGTAACTCTCCTTTTCCTCTAACCTTGAGCCTCAGGATTTTACTCGTCTCACTCACTTATCTCCACTGTTGAACTCCCTCCATCCTGCTTGGGCCACAGGTTTTTCATATGCAAAATAAAGATGCTGTTCAATACAGAATCTCGCAGAGAAAGGGCAGTTCTGCAGGTGGTAGCAGCTCTCATGTGGAGTACAATAGGTTCCTGTGATTAGACTCCTTTCTCTCTCCTTCCTTCCTTCCTTCCTTCCTTTCTTTCTTTCTTTTTCTTTCTTTCCCTCTTTCCTTTGATACTGCCAGATTAAAAAAAACTTTTTAAACTGCAGGACTTCTCATATCATTTAACACAAGAATTCATCTTTTAAAAATTTTCATTGTACTTGTACTGTATTGAGTAAAGACATTTCCATACAGGTTAAACGTATTTCCTCTCCTTTCCTCTCTCCTCCCTCTTCTCATCACCCATTGGTCCTCTTTGTTTCTGACACTTTTGCTTCAAATTTCAGGTCCTATATGCACATGAGAGGAAGCATATGATAACTGTCTTTGTGACACAGACTTACTTTGCACAATCTGATCATTCCAGTTACATCCGTTCTCCTGTAAGTGCCAAAGCTAGGCTCTTCTGTGTGGCTGAGCAAACTTCTCTATTCGTGGCTGTGTTGATGGACCCCGAGGTTTGCTCCATCACTTAGCAGTTGTGAATGGTGTGCACTGATCACTGATGTGCAAGTGTCTCCTTTAAGTAAACACCAGGAGTGGTACAACGGCCGCGTACGTAGATCTATCTTCGGTTCTCGAGAAACCTCCATATTGACTTCTGTAGTGGCTGGACTCATTTCCACTTTCACCGGAGATGTGTGAGCACTGCCCTCTGCCCACACTCTCCAGTGGCTGCACCTTAATCTACTGCTGTTTCAGCCAGCAATTGCGACTCCACAGTTACCCGCCTGCGTCTCTGTGGATCCACCCAGGCGTCTATCAGTGAACAATATTCAGCCATGAAGAAGGATAAAAGTCTATCATTTGAAACAAAAATATAAAAACTATCTGTGCTTGGCCCGGTTCCGAGATTCCGATAGAATAAAGTGGTTGTAAGCATGAAGATTTTTAAAAAGAGATTTATTTATTTAATTATGTGTATGTATGTGTCTTGCTGTGGGTTTGTATCCCTGAGTGCAAAACCTGAGGAGCCCAGAAGAGGGAATTAGATCCTCTGAAGTTCCTAATGACTGTGAGCTGCCTCGCATGGGAACTGAGAGAGGCTTAGCTATCTCTCTCTCTTTAAAAATATTTTTATTTTATAATTAATTTAATTTTACGTATCAGCCACGGATTCCCCTCTCCTCCCTCCTCCCACCCCCCAGCCTTCCCCCCCCCCCAATCTGCCCCCCTGAGCCATATCTTGTTAGACCTGGGGCAAAACCAATTCCACGATTGTCTGATTGAAGCAGGCTGTCCAGAACTGGCTAGCCTGTGCCTCTTCCAAAGTCGGGGTTTCAGAGAGCAGCCCCTCTTGCATTTTGAGGTCCCTTTTGTGGGGAAGGGTTAGGGTTGATAGAAAATAGGCAATTGACTATTAGGACCTATATAGAAGAGGGCGCGCTTGCATGCGTGTGCGCGCATGGATGTAGGGGCGGGAAGCGGGGAGGGGGACCCAGGGCTCAAGCCTGCCTGTGGACATATCATGTGAAAGAGGAGTCATCAAGATATCAGGGAAGACACATTTTATAAGGTCAAAGGGCAATCATATCACAGGTTCAGGAGTTTAACAAGACAAAGGGGTAAGCATACATCATGGGGTCACAAGTTCAGTGTGGGTTGCAAAACATGGTTTGCAGGATCATTAGGCTTAAAAAGCAGAAACTTATTCTTGTAAGGTATGGAGACTTAATGTGTAACAATGTGGCTCCTCAACAACAATGTGGTTCCTGTTTTGTTTCACACTCTATAGGCCAGAATGCTAATTTTAAAAGCCCCAGCCTACAACTCATGTCCACCTATAGGAGACTGGACACAAAATGTGTTTATTCATACAGAAAGCTAGCAATTCAGTAATTTCAAATAAACGGGCAAGGGAGATGGTTCCTTGGGAAAATTACTAACCACAAAATCACACAAGCCTGGTAGCCCACGTTCTGTCTTGGAGCCTATATAAAAAGCCGGATGTGATGGCGTGAATCAGTCATACTAACATTTCACTGGAGGAGAGACAAGAGTGTCCCCTGGAAGCTTGCCTGCCAGATAGCCTGGAATACATAGACGCAGATTATAAGAGAGACCCTGCTTCAGTAAGAGGGAAGAAGCAAATGATTTCTGCAAATTGCCCTCTGACCTTCACATGCCATGGCATATGACACCCCTCATAATAAATATTTGAAAAATACCAATGGAAAGCTATCAACACATGTAACCAAATGGGTGACCCTTTGAGTTACCAGTTTTAGCCAGAAAACAAAAACAAGGCTGTGTCTCGGATTCCGTTCTATGAAGCTAACAGAAGGAGCAAAACTACTACACGGCGTTACAAATCAAGATCACAGTTTCTGCCACTGAGCCCCATCCCTAGCCCTGTTTTCACTTTTTATTTTGAGGCGAGTTCTGATTAAATTGCTCAGGCTGTCCTTGAACTTAATCTGTAGCCCACGGAAACTTATGATCTTCCCACCTCAGCTCCCAAGTAGCTTCAGCACTGGGCCCGGCCTTAGGCCTGCATTGTCGATGATTGATACTTGAGGCTTATTTGTTAATTATCTTTTAAAGACTGGCTCTTACTACGTTGCTCAGGCTGCACAGCCTTCCGGGTGGCTGGGGCTACAGGTGTGCACTTACCCGGCTGCAGATTCATTGCTCCTTGAACTAAGACAATCTAACCTCCCCATGAGTCCCCAATGATACCTCACACAGGAGAGAGGCCCAGCTCACCCACAGCCTCAGGAAATGGACCATCGCCTCCTTTTCTGCTTCCATCATATCACAGCATCCTTCCCACATTTTACTTACTTCCAGATTCTGTCTGCCTTCGCTCTTTCTTTTGTGTAAAAACCCCAAGGAATTCCATACACAGCGAGCAGCACAACAGTAAACCCATAGGTCTCCTGGACCAGCACCCCCTTCTTGTCTGCTCTGCTCAGCGCTATCAATGTATCTAGAAGTACTCTCCTGGATGGGTCACTTTAGAGGGCTCTTAGGTTTCCTGAGCACCTACTATGTGCCAGGTCTTGTTGACCCTGGCCAAGGCCACTGTCTTTTCATTTCAAATTAACCCTGAGTAATTGGCATTTGAACTACTGTTGCTCGCCCCTGTTTACCAGATTATCCAGTCGTTAAAGGAGGATGATGATGTCTGCGTTTGGTGGGCCTGCAATAACAAAAGCTACTCAGTTTATGAACCACAAGAAGTTCCTTGAAGCTGTTTCTCTGAAATCAATGTGAGGCTGCTTCTGGCTGGGCTGGGGGCTGGATCTCATTTATAAAGACACTAATGCTATTCTATTCTTAAGACTTAATCACTCTCCGAGGGCCAGTCCTCTTAACCCCATCCCCTAGGGTTTAGGATTTTAACATATGAATTTGGGGCATAAGCATTCAGGTGACATTAGGCATCAAGTGGAGTTTAAGACCTTTCTCCTCAGGGGAGAAGGGCAGAGGTAGGTGTTTGGGATACAGGTGACTATACAAAGGTCAAATGTAGACATCTAACAATGAGCCTCATGCTCAGTCGCTAGAATTAAAGCCAGACAGCTCTCAAGTCCAGGTAGCCTCGGGCTCTCAGCTCATCCCTTCTGGTGACTTAGTGGCAACCGCAGGGCTACTTTTCGTCTGGTACAACTTAGAGAAGAAAGCAGCAAGTGTGTATGTGTGTGCGCGTGCACGTGTGTGTGTGTGTGTGTGTGTGTGGTGTGCGCGTGCACGCGCGCGTCTGTGCGTGGAAGGAATGTATATGTTTTTGCTTTTAGGTTCCTGGCTTCCTGACATCATAGTGGGTTCCCATATCAGGGTGGTGAGGCGTTGAGAGAAGCATCCGAGCAGACTCTCTGGGGCGGGTGTGTGCGTGTCGGCGTGCCTTGCGTGGAGCAGGGATTGCTGTACCCAGCGCGAGGCACTGGAGGAGGAAGCCGTAGCAGAGATCTGAATAATTGATTCTCCAGCAGCACCAGACGCCCGGGAGCGGGCGGAGAGCGTGGTTTCAGCACCAAGGTTGCGCGCCACCGCAGGCTCCCCCCCCATCACCAGCCAGACACCTAGGTTGGCCTTGTTCGCTGCCGCCTTGCGCTCCAGAAGAGGGTAGCCGCGCTCCGCGTCGCCGCCTAGGGACTGCGGGGTCTGCCTCGGCCCGCCTCCAGGGTGGGCGGCTGCAGGCGGGCCGGAGCTCCAAACATCCTCGGATTGCGCGGGGGTTGCTGCGTTGCGTCTGGCTGGCTGAGAACAAGTCCTAAGTTGGTGTGGTGGGTGCCTCTGCCTTCCTCTATCCTCCGAGGCGACCGCGACAGAAGCGCGCCCCAGGATCCTGGCTTCTCCAGTGCTGTGAACCGCGGTGGCCAGGCACTCTCCTGAGCTCCCGCTGGCCAAGTGAGGGACCGAACGCCCAGAGCCGAGCTGGCCCCGCAGCGAAGGGCCCGGAGGGAGCTGCGGTTCTCCGCCCGCAACCTTCTCGGCCAGGGACCGCGGGGATCCCCGGCCACACGCGCGCGCGCGCTCCCACACTCACTCACACACACACTCGCTCTCCCGCACGCCAGGCTGGAGCTGGGCTGCGGAGAGGGTGTCCAGGCGCGCTCAGAGGACCCGTCAGCTGCTGTCCGGAGTGGAGCAGGAAGCTAAGCCAGGGATCTAGGAGAGAGGCTCCCCAGGTGCTGTGCCGGAGCATGGGGCCCGATGAGCTCTGAGAGTCGCGGCCGCAGCAATCAGCCCTGGAGATGACCAGGGGCGGCCACTGCTGAGAACTATGTGGAGAGAGGCTGCGGTGAGTGCTGGCGCGGGACGCCGAGCCTGGGAGGGCCCTGTGAGAAGCCGGTGGGGGGAGGTCTGGATAGGAAGGGGAGGCAGGACGCACAAGAGGGTCGCTACGTGGGAGTGATCACACCTCCCTCGGGGATCCGGGACCGCGGGAGCCCGCGTCCTTCCCTCCCCCTCTTCTCCTCCCGGCTCGTCGCAAACTCAGCCAGCGCCCCCTCCTTCCCTCCTCTTTTTCTCTCCCTACCCCCCACCCCCCTCTCTCAGCAGCTCCTGGTCGCACAACTCCCAGTAGCCGGTGCCTGGGTGGTGGTAGGGGGTGAGGGTGGAGGTTCCCACTAAGCTTCTCGTGGGTGGCCAACCTGGGGCTCCCACTCTCCGGTGCGTCCCTGAGAGGAGCTCCGGTTATCAGCCACAGGGACTGAAGATCCGCACCGAGGGTGTCGTGGGCACCAAGCTCCAGCTCCCTCTCTGGTCGAGCCCCCAGGGTGCATAAGGGGGCTGTGAACACTGCAGACTGCATCCCTCCCCCACCTTCCCCCGCGCTGGTGGGCTGACCCTGCCTCTCCATCTCTCCTCCGCCCCGGTAGAGCCCTGCTGCAGAGCCTCCGGCTGGGATAGCCGCCCCCCGTGGGGGCGATGCGGACAGCGCGGGACAGCCAGGGGAGCGCGCGGGGGCCGCAGCATGCGGGAACCCGCTAAACCCGGTGGCTGCTGAGGCGGCCGAGATGCTCGTGCGCGCAGCACGCCCCATTGCATCCTCCACCTTCTCCGGCTACAGGTACGTCCTGGTTGGTGATACCTGCTCCGTGGGCCTGGGAGGAGATAGGCTCAACCGGTGAGGAGAGAGCAGGAGAGGGTTCAGGAGGGAGAGGGGGGAAAAAGAGCGAGCGAGAGAAACCCAGTACGAGAAAGCAGGAGAGGGAGAGCCCTGTAGCGAGGCGTTGGAGGAGCACCAGGTGGCGCTGCGGCCCTGCACTCCACCTTTCTCACCCTAAATGCCAGGGCTGGAGTTTGCCCCAACTTCCCCCGGGTGCAGCAACACGCCGGCCGAGGGGCGCGCGCTTGTACATGCGTGCACGACTGTACAGGCATTTGCAGGCAAGCACCGTTGTGCACCTGGTACAGTACTTGTTTGCGCACCGCCTGAGGACGTTTGAAGGCTCCAGCTGGCCGTGGGCATCTCCACGGCGGCCTGCGGATGTGCGCAGAAAAGCGCGCGTGTCTGTTAGCATGTGCAGCCCACTGCCCACGTGCATCTAAGATTTGGCTCCAGGGTCTGCAGTGGAAAGACTGTGGAGGGGTTGTACACTCCGCGCCCATCTGAGAGCTTTTTGGGAGCCTACCCCCCCCCCACCCCCGCACG